TGGGCTGTGAGCTCTGTGAACGAGCCAGCTAATGCCAGACTCTGGGGAAGTGAGAGAGGCACTTTGGTGACAGAGTCTCTGTAAGATCCAGGCACGGATAAGCTCAGAGGTCTTCTCTACACATCTCTGCCTTCATCAACTGCCACCCAAATTTGACCCACTTCACTCCTCCTCAACCTAGGACAGCTTCAGTGGCCTGGGCTAGATCTCACTGCCTTCTTGATAATGTGGATGATGTCCCATCCCTCTCCAAATTCACTCATTCATTCATTCAGGGTATCCTGGGCAGCTAGGCAGCACCTGTGTCTGCTCTGAGCTGAGCACTGTGCTGGCCTCTCATTTGATTCCTTTGTGCCCTGTCTCTTTCTGCATTCTGTTACACACACACACACACACACACACACACAAAGAGGCATCTTGCTACATCTATTCTGGTTTTCTCTTCCCTGTGTCTCTAAACAACCCAAGGGAAGTTCTCATGTCTCCTCCCCTTGGTAACAGGTGATGTGGATTACTGGATACATGCAGTGTTTCACACAGACCGCAGCTTGAGTCTTGACTCTGACCCTGCCCTTAACTATTAATATCATAGGTAACTTGAGTGGGCTCAAGTTAAAGATGGGCTAATAAAGGACAGAAATTGTATGGACCTAACAGAAGCAGAAGATATTAAGAAGAGGTGGCAAGAATACACAGAAGGACTGTACAAAAAAGATCTTCATGACCCAGATAATCACGACGGTGTGATCACTCACCTAGAGCCAGACATCCTGGAATGTGAAGTCAAGTGGGCCTTAAGAAGCATCACTATGAAGAAAGCCAGTGGAGGTGATGGAATTCCAGTTGAGCTATTTCAAATCCTGAAAGATGATGCTGTGAAAGTGCTGCACTCAATATGCCAGCAAATTTGGAAAACACAGTAGTGGCCACAGGACTGGAAAAGGTCAGTTTTCATTCCAACCCAAAGAAAGGCAATCCCAAAGAATGCTCAAACTAGCGCACAATTGCACTGATCTCACATGCTAGTAAAGTAATGCTCAAAATTCTCCAAGCCAGGCTTCAGCAATACGTGAACCATGAACTTCCAGATGTTCAAGCTGGTTTTAGAAAAGGCAGAGGAACCAGAGATCAAATTGCCAACATCCACTGGATCATTGAAAAAGCAAGAGAGTTCCAGAAAAACATCTATTTCTGCTTTATTGACTATGCCAAAGCTTTTGACTGTGTGGATCACAATAAACTGTGGAAAATTCTGAAGGAGATGGGAATACCAGACCACCTGACCTGCCTCTTGAGAAATCTGTATGCAGGTCAGGAAGCAACAGTTAGAACTGGACATGGAACAACAGACTGGTTCCAAATAGAAAAAGGAGTACATCAAGGCCGTATATTGTCACCCTGCTTATTTAACTTATATGCAGAGTACATCATGAAAAACGCTGGGCTGGAAGAAGCTGAAGCTGGAATCAAGATTGCTGGGAGAAATATCAATAACCTCAGATATGCAGATGACATCACCCCTATGGCAGAAAGTGAAGAGGAAATAAAAAAGCTTCTTGATGAAAGTGAAAGAGGAGAGTGAAAAAGTTGGCTGAAAACTCAACCTTCATAAATCTAAGATCATGGCATCTGGTCCCATCACTTCATGGGAAATAGATGGGGAAACAGTGGAAACAGTGTCAGACTTTAGTTTTTTGGGCTCCAAAATCACTGCAGATGGTGACTGAAGCCATGAAATTAAAAGATGCTTACTCCTTGGAAGGAAAGTTATGTCCAACCTAGACAGCATATCAAAAAGCAGAGACATCACTTTGTCAACAAAGGTCTGTCTAGTTAAGGCTATGGTTTTTCCAGTAGTCATGTATGGATGTGAGAGTTGGACTATAAAGAAAGCTAACCGCCGAAGAATTGATGCTTTTGAACTGTGGTATTGGTGAAGACTCTTGAGAGTCCCTTGGACTGCAAGGAGACCCAACCAGTCCATCCTAAAGATCAGTCCTGGGTGTTCATTGGAAGGACTGATGTTGAAGCTGAAACTCCAATCCTTTGGCCACCTGATGTGAAGAGCTGACTCATTTGAAAAGACCTTGATGCTGGGAAAGATTGAGGGCAGGAGGAGAAGGGGACGACAGAGGATGAGATTGTTGGACAGCCTCACCGACTCAATGGACATGAGTTTGGGTAAACTCCAGGAGTTGGTGATGGACAGAGAGGCCTGGTGTGCTGAGATTCATGGAGCTGCAAAGAGTCGGACATGACTGAGCGATTGAACTGAACTGAACTTGAGTGGGTTAGGCCCTGTCATCCTCTGTTTCCTCATCACAATTAACAGAAAGAGAAAAGGATGAATTGAGAGAGTAGCATTGACACATATACACTACTTATCTCAGGTGGCCTCGGCCTGCAATTGCTTGGAGGGAGGCTTGGGTTCCCAGCCACAGAGTGAGGCCAGGTTGTGGTGGTGATCCTGGCCATTAGACCAGTGGTCAGTGACAAGGGCCCTGGCCCTTTGGCTTTGCAGAAAAGAATTTCCAAAAAGACAGAAAGTAGTGAAGCAAGTATTTACTAAGAGGAAAAAGAGTACAGGACATGTGCATAGACACACGTGCAAACTCAGAGGGAAAGTCCTTGAATTGCGCTCCCGTGGCAGTTAAAATCAATTACATGGGGCATTTCTTCCTGTTTTCCTTTGGCCAATCATTTTGATTTGCCTCATTCACAGTTTATATCTGGTATATCTCAGGATCCATCCATGTGTGTACGGGCATTTCTTAGCCATGATGAATTCTACTGCAAAGGCTTGTGGGTAGAGCATCCCTTGACATCACTCCCCCTTTAACCTCCAAGGAGCCTTTCTGTGCACATGTGGTCGGGGAGTTGTCCTGACTTCAAGAATGAGAAATATGGCAGGGCCCAGCCTCCTCCCTTGATTGTCCTGCTCTTATATTAAGGCTTCCCTGGTGGCTCAGATGGTAAAGAATCTGCCTGCAATGCAGGAGACCCAGGTTGGATCCCTGGGCTGAGAAGACTCCCTGGAAAAGGGAATGGCTACCCACTCCAGTATTCTTGCCTGGAGAACTCCATGAACTGAATAATCTGGTGGGCTACAGTATTATATCATTTTTATTATTGTTGTAATTATTGAACAACAGCATGTGATTATAATTCATTCATATAATTATTCATATATACAATGAATATTATATGAATATATAATCATATATATTATTAATAGTTCATATAATTATTGAACAACAACAATTATTGTTGTTGTGTTAGTCACTCAGTCATGTCCAACCCTTTGCACCCCCATGGACTATAGCCCACCAGACTCTTCTGTCCATGGGATTCTGTAGGTGAGAGTACTGGAGCGGGTAGCCATTCCCTTCTCCAGGGGATCTTCTCAACCCAGGGATCGAATCTGGGTCTCCTGCATTGCAGGCAGATTCTTTACTGTCTGAGCCACCAGGGAATTATATTATTAATATATATGTATATATTATATTATTCCACAGGGAATGGATCTCCAACTGCGTTACCCTGGGGTGGGGAGCATCTGTCTCCTGTTTCACTACCATGTGTAGACTGGACAGCTAGTGGGAAGCTGCTGTATAACAGAGGGAGCTGAACTCGTCCTCTGTGACGACCGGGAGGGGAGGGATGGGAGGAGGGAGGGAGGCTCCAGGGGGAGAGGACATTTGTGTACACTGATCCATGTTGCTGTACGGCTGAAAGCAACACAACATTGTGAAGAAGTTATACTCCAGTTAAAAAATAAACTTAAAAAAGAGAGAAGAAATCACTTCTTCCAGCCTTACAATGAGGCAGAGACTTGCTCAGACTTGGTACAGTCAATGCTCCAAGATGCAAGTGTCTCCTCTTGATTCTTCAGTGGCCCATCACAAGTGCGTGCAGTGGCTGCATGAGAATCTGTGTTCTCCTCAAATGTCTCCTTGGAAGACTGGGTACTACACCCCAAATTCTCTTACTTACCATTTTAGCTTTTTTTCTTCTTCTTCCTTTTTCAAAGGAAGTATTTTCCAACATACACAACAAAAGAGTGAACATACAGTAAACCTTTTATATCCATCACTAGTTTTGACAGTCAACAACTACTACGTCTCCTGTGTCACCGACCTCCACCCATAATTTTTTTTTCTTGGAATATTTTAAAGCAAATTTCGTCTATCCTATCTTTTCAACTATAAACATTCCAGTGCATATAACAGAAAAAATGTTAAAGAACATAACCACAGTTTTTTTTATTACACCCCCCAAATGAAGTATTCTTCGTTAATGTAATCTAACACCCAGTTCATATTTGTTTTCTCCCCAGTGATCTCAACAATGTCTTTTTACTATTGATTTGATTGAATTAGGATTCCCCAAAAGTTCACATTACATTTGATTATAAGGTCTCTTAGACATTTTACACCAATCTGCTGTTCTGTTTTCAGTGGAAATGCTAGAAAAATGAGGAAGTTCTTACTTCCTAAAAATCTCCCTGCCTACTTCCTGAACCCATTCCAAGTAAACAAAAATTATCATCTCCTTTTTTAGGTGTTTTTAAATGACAAAAAAGAATTTACCCCGCAGCAGCTTTGAGATAAATGGGTTCCTCAAACAACTTTCAAACCCCAACAATCATTTCAGTGAAGAAGAAAGGCAGGCCATACTTTAGCACTGCTGTTGGAGGGACATTTTTCTTCACAGAAAGACTTTTTTATGCCCTCCCACCTGCTTTTCGGAATCCACCAACCACAAAATTTACTCCATCCACTTTTTTCTCTCTCCCTTCCACACTCCCTCTCTCTTTTTAGCAGCAACATACAAGCCGGCCATATTAGAGAGATGGAAATAAAGCTTCCTTAATGTTGTATGTGTCTTTGAAGTACATCCGTGCATTTTTTTTTTAGCATCTAACCATTCCTCCCTCGTAGCCCTCGGCCCCTCAAATCACCCTCTCCCCTAGCCCACCCGACTAACATCTCAGTCTGAAAATGCACAGAAATGCCTGGCTACCTCGCCCTGCCTTCAGTCTCACGGGGCTCACTCTCTTTTTCTCTTTGGGTAAGTCAGACTGCACATCTGCATGCTCCTGAGGGGTCCAGAAGTGCATCTGCAACAGGAGGAGGATGGGGGCCGGGGGCAAGAAAGAAGACAGTGCTTGTGCTTCCCTTGGTGTCCTTGGGGAGAGAGGTGCTGGGACTGGGGGACTGCATAATGCAGTCGGGGGACTGCATAATGCTGGGGTGATCTGGTCACAGAAACGCTGGGTCAGGGGATCTGAGTGTTCCCTGGAGGTGTCAAGAAAGGTGACTTTTCTGTGGATTTCCCTGAAACGGACCTATGTGGGGGTGGGGGCAGGGGGTAGGTTGATCTGCAGAGCCTCTTCATGGATTTTTGCTTTCAGCTGCTACAGATAATCTGGGACTTAATGTCTGTGAATCTTCAGAATCTGGTGGATTTAGGGTATTGAAAAGAGTATTCGGTGGTGGAGTAGGGGGCAGAAAGTTGAGTCTGGGTCTGGCTTCCTGGAAATCTGTACCACTGATTTGTTGCTGTGTGTGGGGGCGTAGGTGGGAAGCAGGCTTGAGGAATGATCTCTGCATTGGGATGAGAACTGCTGAAGCAGGCACTGATGAAGAAGCTCTCTGGCTTGGGCCAGATGGAGTGGAGAAGGGGTCAGGTGAAGGGATCAGGAGAAAAAAAAAGCAACTCATGGACTAAGCGTGGTTGTGGCCCTTTAGATCATGTCTCCAAACTGCCCAGCACCGCCCCCACCACCCCCCCGCCCCCCGCCCCTTGCAGACTGTCAAGAGATCCAAACGCTAATTTCATACCTGGCCATTCATGGACTTCCTGGTGGGTAGGTGGGCAAGGGAGTTACTTGCAAACCTGCTTTCTAGGTAGTTTCACTCTTGCTTTTAAACTTACTCATTGCTGGCGTAGCAATTGAGGATCCAGTCCAAGGACTGTCAGTGGGAATATTCCCTGTCACAGTCTCTTTCTCACTCCCTCTCTTTAACCCTCTTTCTCTCTCCATCTCTGGCATGCTGTGCTGGCTATTGGTGGTGCTAGTGGTAAAGAACCCTCCTGCCAATGCAGGAGACATGAGACGCGAGTTCAGTCCCTGGGTGGGAAGATCCTCTGGAGGAGGGCATGGCAACCCACTCCAGTATTCTTGCCTGGAGAATCCCATGGGCAGAGGAAGCTGGCAGGCTACAGTCCATGGGGTCACAAAGAGTCGGACATGACTGAAGCGACTTAGCATACATGCTGGCTATTGGGCTGGAGTGGTAAACAGAGACAGCACAGGGCCCCTGGCAGCCTGCACGATGAGGCAAACGAGCTTTGCTGAATTATTGGATGTATTAACAGAGCAGGAGTGTTACAGAAGCTCAGGTGGTAGAGAGAGCATGAGCTTTGGATTCCATCTGGGTTTAAAGCCACCTTTGTCATTTACTTCATACTATTGCCAAGTTACTCACCTCTTTCCTGGGTGAACTGAAGAATATCTACTGCCTGGGGTTTTTTGAGTCTGGCACATAGCAGGTGCTCAATGATAGTTAACCTTTATGAATGCTTTTCACATGCCCATGCACTGCGTATCTTGTTTAGTCTTGAGGCAATTGGTAATCATGTGGGGTAGATATGCTGTGATTCTCATGGTACAGATAAGGAAACAGGCACAGATAAGTAACTTGCCCAATAGGGTCACAGGAATAGTTTAAAGGGAGTTGAGATTTGAACCCTTGGTGGTCTGACTTCAGCCCATTCTTAACCACTGAACTCTACTGCCCCCCAATGTTTGAGAAATGGTACTGCTATGCTAAAAAGGGGCTTCTCTGTTAGCTCAGCTGGTAAAGAACCAGCCTGCAGCGCACTAGACCCTGGTTTGATCCCCGGGTCAGAGAGATCCTGTGGAGAAGGGATAGGCTATCCACTCCAGTGTTCTCGGGCCACCCTGCTGGTTCAGATGGTAAAGAGTCCGCCTGCAGTGCGGGAGACCTGAGTTCGATTGTGGGTTGGGAAGATCCCCTGGAGGAGGAAACGGCAACCTACTCCAATATTCTTGCCTGGAAAATCCAATGGACAGAGAAGCCTGGCGGGCTACAGTCCATGGGGTTGCAAAGAGTCAGACACAACTGAGTGACTAAGCACAGCACAGGCTAACAATAATTTGGATTAAAGAATCTTAAGTACGGGCAAAAAGAGGGGAGCTGGGTGAGTGACCAGTGTATAAGGAGATGGGGACGCAGGACAGGCGATCTCTTCAGGGAATTAGAGACAGCTTCCTGTGGGAGGGAGAGCCTTCCCTAAGTGAAGAAAGGGAGGGTGTCTGGGGGTCCTGAACCAGGGTGTGGCTCGGGGGAAGATAGAGTCTGGGGTGAAGAAGTCAGGGTGTGGGCTGTGAGGTGGTGGTGGGAGGAAGCTACAGCTTCTGCAAACCTGGATGGGGGGAGGATGCCAGAGTGAGGACCTTGAACTTGAACTTGGTTGGTGCTGTGATGAGGCATGCTCTGGCACTCCAAGGCCAAGGAGGCAGGTGGACAAGGAAACTTTGGCGGCTGTAGCAGCAACAGTCCCTGAGATGGGGGGATGCCACACGTGATAAGGGTGGGGCTATGACAAGGGCTGGGTTTGTGAGGATGACTGTAGAGCTGACAAAGGGGCAGGGGACAGCTGGTCAACCTGCGGTACCCACGGCAGAAGCACGTGAGACTTGTCCTCAATTAGAAGCAATCCAACTGATTGATCTTTCCTAGAGTTTTTCTCTAGACCCTTGGCTCCGTAGTCACTGGACTGGTCACCAAAGTCTGGATTATGCTGTCGTCATTATTTAGTCACTAAATTGTGTCCGACTCTTTTGTGGACACTGTAGCCCACCAGTCTCCTCTGTCCATGAGATTTTCCCAGGCGAGAATACTGGAGCGGGGTGCCATTTCCTTCTCCAGTGGATGTTCCTGACCCAGGGATCGAACCTGTGCTTGGGGGGTGGATTCTTTAGCACTGAGCCACCTGGGAAGCCGCTGGGTCATGTTAGGCAAGGCCTAGAAAGTGGAGTCTGGTCCTCACTCAAGCCCACTGTACATGGACAAATGGGGGAAAAGGCCTTCCCTTCCCCCTACAGACTTTATTGAGTGTCCACTGTGTGTCATTCACGGTTCTAGGACCAGGGATGTCAAGATGGATAAGAATCAGCTCCCCAGAGTCTCCTGAGGGATTCGGGAACATAAACAACAATGCCACATCACACATGCTATGAAACAACAGCAGTGGCGATAATAACAGCAGCTAACCTTTGGTGAGGCTGCCCATGTACCAGGCACTGCCATGAGCTTTATGTTTTAGTATTTAATCCTCACAACAGCCGTAGGAGGTAGGGCCTATTGTTGTCTCCCATTTTACAGATGAGGAAGCTGAGGTATTGGGAGGTGGACCATCTTGGCTAAGATCAGAGCAGGGTATGAGAGCGCCAGTCTTGGCCATGATACTGCTCTGCCTCCTGGTCTGGAAGGCTGGGGAGAAGGCTCAGGCACTGGAGAAGTGATGCCTTGTTAGCTGGGGGCTGCAGGATAAGCAGGAGGGCTCAGGTGCAGCAGGGTGAATGAGCATCCCAACCTGGAGCAAAAACTCGTGCAAAGGCATGGAGGAGTGGAAGAAAGCGGTGTTTTCAGAAAAGTAAGAACACTGGAGAAGGGAATGGCAACCCACTCCAGTATTCTTGCCTGAAGCATCCCCTGGACAGAGGAGCCCAGGAAGCTACAGTCCACGGGGTTGCAAGAATTGGATGTAACTTAGCGACTAAATCACCACAAGAACTCTGGAGTCACTGGAGTGGAGGAAGTGTGGAGGGTTGGGAGCTGGAAATGAGGCTGGGATGCTGGTTGGCCCCAGATGGTAAAGGGCTTAGAAGCCCAGGAGCCTGGACGAGATCCTGAAAGTACCGGGGAGCCAGCGGTGGTTGGGGGTGAGGGGTGATGAGGACAAGGGCTCTCATGGCTGCATGGGGGTGGCCTGGCCTGGGAGGGGAGCCCTGAGGTGATGGGCCTAAATGGTAAGGTAGCTCAGGAGATGGACTGCATGTCACACTCACCTGGGAGTCAGGGGCAGCAGGAGACCGTGTGCTCCAGAAGAAAGTGAAGTCGCTCACTTTCGCTCAGTCGTGTCTGACTCTTTGCGACCCCATGGACTGTAGCTCACCAGGCTCCTCCGTCCATGGGATTTTCCAGGCAAGAATACTTGACTGGGTTGCCATTTCCTTCTCCAGGGGATCTTCCTGCTCCAGAAGGGTGGGAGATAATTTCTCTGCTTAGACAAACCTTTTTTTTTGTTTTAACCAAGAAAAAAATTAATCTACCTCATAGACTGGAAGGAGGCATGAGGAGAATTAACTTCTAGTCTCTGTAGGAAAGTGTTTGACAGGTAATGAGCAAATGTTCATGATCTCTGCAAGATGGGCCATTGTATGACATGGGGGCTATGGTGCCCAGATGCGCCTAGGAGAAAATGAGGGGGCCTGGGCCCTGATAATGTTTTGGAACTAAGCTCAAAAGCCACATCCTTACTCTACCCCTGTTGATCATGTCCTTTCTGTGAGCTGAAATTCAGGAGACCTAGGCTCCAGACCTGGTACCAAATGGGACAACCAGGAAGACGATGGGCTCCCCTTGTATGGTGCCCATGTGCTAAGTTGCTTCAGTCATATCAGACTCTTTGTGATCCTATAGCCCACCAGGCTCCTCTGTCCATGGGATTCTCCAGGCAAGAATACTGGAGTGGGTAGCCATGCCCTCCTCCAGGGGATCTTCCAAACCCAGGGATCGAACCCGCATCTCTTACATCTCCTGCATTGGCAGGGGGGTTCTTCACCACTAGTACTACCTGGGAAGCCCCCTATTGAATGGAAGTTCATTTTAAATAAGACCAATCCCCTCTGGACAGCCTGGGGCTGACAGTTATGGTGCAGGACCTGCCTTGCAGACAGCAGGAGGCCTGGTCTCTGGGACCCCTTGGAACAAAACCCACACCCTCACGCAATCTCCACCCCTCAACCCGCTCTGTCTGGAGCCTGGTGGCCTGGGTTCCAATCTAGCTTTGTCACTTACTAGCTGTGAACTTGGGCTATTCATTTAAGTTCCTTGTTCTCCATTTCTTCACCTGGAAAGTAGGGGGTGGTCATAGGGTGATATCTGTAGGGTGTTAAAACAGAGCCTAGTACATGGTAAGTGCCTTGTTGTTATTATTATGAAGTCCTTTTGTGGCCTGAGCTGTGGATTCTGCTACTTTCCTGAAGCAGCAGAGTTCATCAGGAGCTGGGAAGTTTGTTCAGAGCTCTGCCTGTGTTGCATTTTGATTTACTCATCTTTAAAGGAGCGCCTGGATTGGTGAAAGGACGTCAAGACTTTGCCTTGAGCTGGGATCCTGGGAGACCTCAGGTGGAAGTAGGCGCTGGACAGGGAGTCAGGGACCACGACTCTGGCCCCGGCTTGTCCCTATCCGCTGTGTGTCTTTCTCAGGCCTCCCTTTCCTCGTTGGTAAAATGATGGAGCTGGATCTGTTGTGATAGAATTCCTGAGTTTCCCTCTGCAGTTGGGAATTGACGGTTGACCTCTCTGACCGCTAGAGGGCACACGTGTCCGCCTGGTGCCTCCTGCCGGACGTGCGGCGAGATGCAGCAGGGACCCGCATTGCACTTCTCTGGCTGCCTCCCTCCTGCGGGCCAGAAAAGGCCCTTCGCTCCCCAGGGTCCCGACCTCCCCGAAGAGTGCTAGCTTCTTCAAGATGGAGGGGGTTCCTGGTAGGGTTCAAGTTCTGTGTGTGGAGTGATGTAGTGGGCTGGGGCGGGACAGAGGCAGGGATGGGTCACCCAGATTCACCCGACCTACTTTCTAATGTCACTTGGAGGCTCCTTTGGCTCAGGAGCCCTGGGAAAGGGCAGACCCTTCCCAGGGAAGGTGCTAGAGAAGCAGGGTTTTCCCGGGATATGAGGTAAGCTCAGGACAAGGCCCTGCCAGGCTCCTTCCCTGCAGATTACTCCGCCTCTGCAGAGCGGGGGTGGAGATGGCATTTTCCGCACACCTCCTCCTAACCTGGCACCGTGCTCGGTGCTTTCATAACGCTGTGAGTGGGGAGGTAAGAACTGGGCTTTGTTCTGGGCTCAGCCTCCCCAGTTTATATTCCCCTGACGTGCACCTCAGCACACCTAGCAGCCTGTCCTTGCAGGTGGGGCCGCCTGTCTGCCCCCGCTGTCTACGGTTAGGTCCTGACCTCCGGGGCCAGGGTTTCAGAGCATCCCCTGTTCTTAAGTGCTGCCTACTGGGCCCTGGCCACTCATCCCGAGGGATGAGCTGAGCGGAAGGACTTTGCTATCCCTGCTTCCAGGCTGCAGTGCGGTTGTGTCTGGGGTGGGGCCTCTGCAGCTTGGCACAAAAAACAGCTTCTGCAGAAGGAGTGCCCTGTGCCAAATCCCAGGCCAAGGGGCTGTCCTGAGGGGCCAGGCTCCAAGGCGCCCCTGCCAGAAGAGTGCTCTGGAAGCCCTTCCTTCTATGGGGCAGAATTTGAGGAGAATTTAAGGCTACCTTTTGCTTTATTTTATTTTTTAATTTTTTGGAGCCCATGCTGTGCAGCTTGCGGGATCTTAAGTTCCCCAACCAGGGGCTGAACCCCGAGCCACCTCAGTGAAGTGCGGGTCCTAAGCACTGGGCCGCCAGGGAACTCCTTTCCCCTTTGGTTTGTATGTTTTGTCTTATTTAATTGTTATAATAACCCCAGCAGGTAGGTATCATCGGTGCATTTTACACAGGAGGTGCCTGAGGCTCAGAAGGTGGAAGAACCTGCCCACGTTCTCCCAGCTGATAGAAGGCAGAGCTAGGATTGAATCGTGTCTAATGGGAGCTCCATGCCTCCTAGCTGCTCCCTGGGCACCCTCTAGTGGCTTCCTATCTCAAGAATGGCAGCCTGGTCCCTGCCTAAGTCTGGGACCTCAGCTCTCTCCACCTGCCCCTTTGATCACCTGCTGGGTTGTGCCCCAGACGCGTGATGCTCATTCCAACCACTGGAACTTTCCTCTGGATGTTCTCCTGCCCCAGATTCCTTCAAAATTTGAAAACTTCTTACTCCCTCACTCGAGTCGGGGGTCACCTACAGGGCACCCCTTGGGGAAGCCTTCCCTGACTTTTGATGTCAAACAGCACCCTGCATGTTATATTATTTACAGCCCTTGCTGTGTATCACTAAAGTTACATTATTATCTTTTCCCTGTTAACATCTGTCCCCCTCCCTAGAATACAAACTCAGTTAGGGCATCTCTGCCTGCTTCCATCACAGCAATAACCCTGGGGCCTAGACTGAATGTCTAGGGGGGCAGAGAAGGTGATTTAGAAATGTTTGGTAAATATTTGGTATATGCGTGAATGGATAATTGATACTTAGTATTACTGTTTCTCCTCTATGTTGTTGTTTAGTCACTCAGTCCTGTCTGACTCTTTGTGACCCCATGAACTGCAGCATGCCAGGCTTCCCTGTCCTTCACTATCTCTCAGAGTTTGCCCAAACTCATGTCCATTGAATTGATGATGCCAGCCAACTATCTCATCCTGTCATCCTCTTCTCCTCCTGCCCTCAATCTTTCCCAGCATCAGGGTCTTTTACAATGAGTCAGCTCTTCACACCACGTGGCCAAAGGAATGAAGCTTCAGCCTCAGCATCAGTCCTTCCAATGACTGGTCAGGGTTGATTTCCTTTAGGATTGACTGGTTTGCTCTGCTTGCTGTCCAAGGGACTCTCAAGAATCTTCTCCAGCACCACAGTTCAAAAGCATCTGTTCTTTGGCACTTAGTTTTCTTTATGGTCCAACTCTCACATCCTTACATGACTATGGGAAAACCATAGCCTTAACTATATGGACCTTTGTGAGTAAAATGATGTCTCTGCTTTTTAATATGCTGTCTAGGTTTGTCATAGCTTTTCTTCCAAGGAGCAAGCTTTTTTTTAAAAAATTTCATGGCTGCAATCACTGTCCACAGTAATTCTGGAGCCCAAGAAAATATTATCTACCACTTTTCATTTTTTTCCCCATATTGTTTCCATGAAGTGATGGGATCATATGCCATGATCTGAGTTTTTTGAATGTTAAATTTTAAGCCAGCTTTTTCACTCTCCTCTTTCACCCTCATCAAGAGGCTCTTTAGTTCCTCTTCATTTTCTGCCATAAGTGTGGTGTCACCTGCATATCTGAAGTTGTTAATACTTCTCACAGCAGTCTTGATTCCAGTTTGATTCATCCAGTCCATTCATCCACTGGCATTTCACAGTCCAGGCCTGATGTCTCCAAAAGGGACTCCTGTCCTTGTAGACCCATTGGTTGATCCCTTTGAATTGTGCTTGTTCTTCTGTTCAGCTGCCATCCCCACCGGGACCCTGGGGAAGAGGAGGGAGCTGGGCTCTGCTGAGTGCACAGGCTTTCCTCGGCCCTGGGGTATGCAGGACGAGGCCTCTGCATCTGTCCTCCAGGCTGCCTGTCCCCGGAGACACTGCAGCTGCAGCTGGAAGGGCATGGGCTCTGCTGAGATGGTTGGAAGCAGTGGGAAGAAGGGGAAACCTAGGCCAGCACAATGCAGCGCCTTGTCCAAGGTCTTCAGCCATCAGGTGGCCATGACAATCCTTGGCGTCATGACAGCCAGGTAGAGGGAGGGCTTGAGGCCATCTGTCTGTCCCTGGCTTGACAGATGCTTTGATCTCTCTTCACCCCAGCTTTGTCCTGTCCCCCACTTCTCTCCAAGGGCCACATCAGGCACCCCTTATGAGTTTTGCCTCCCCACTCCACCCCACCCCCTGACAAATTGCAGCCACAAGGAACCCAGCCAGCTGCCCGAGCTCTGCTCCCCTCCCCGGCAGCATCAGCCAGAATCCTCACTGGGTGTGACTCTGTCCACAGTGCCACCAGGGAGAAGCATGGAAGTCACAGTACCGAACACCCTCAACGTCCTCAATGGCTCTGATGCCCGCCTGCCCTGCACCTTCAACTCCTGCTACACCGTGAACCACAAACAGTTCTCCCTGAACTGGACTTACCAGGAGTGTAACAACTGCTCCGAGGAGATGGTGAGCCATGGGATGGTGGCAGGGGATGGGGGAGGAGGCAGGAGCCCCACAGCATGAAGCCCCCTTGCCCACCACCTGTCCCTGCCTTGGACCAGGACTGCGGCATACCCTGGTGGGGTATACCCTGCTCCCCAGGGCATCGGCAGAGGTGTGTTGTCACACCTGGGTGGCCCTGGGAGGGTGGCAGAGATCTGGAGGCGACTGCCTCCCTCCCAGGTAAGGGGGGGGGAAGAGGGGGTCCTGCTGTCCTTGTAGCTCCTCACTCATCCAGCACCCCCCACCCCGTCCTGTCCTTCGCCCCCACTCAGTTCCTCCAGTTCCGCATGAAGATCATTAACCTGAAGCTGGAGCGGTTCCGAGACCGCGTGGAGTTCTCGGGGAACCCCAGCAAGTATGACGTGTCAGTCACCCTGAGAAAAGTGCAGCTGGAGGATGAGGGCACCTACAACTGCTACATCATGAACCCGCCCGACCGCCACCGCGGCCACGGCAAGATCTATCTGCAGGTCCTCATGGAAGGTGAGAGGTTGCTGGGGGGTCCTGCCGGTTCCCAGCCCACTACTCTCCAGCACGGCTAGTGGGCGCCTTGGGAGAGGCTGTGCCCTCTTGAGGGGTGGGAGCCACAGCGTGTGCTGGGTGGAAGGCATCTGTTTTACTCCTTCCAGTTCTTGAGGACTGTGTCTCTGAGAGTCCTGATGATGCTATCCATCATGATCATGACCTTAAGAATCCTGAGAACAGCTTTCATTTATTGGACACTTACTATGTCTCAGTTATAGGTACAGGTACACTCTCTACATGCATTATCTCATTTCATCTTCATACAACCCTTTCTCATCCCCATTTTACAGATGAGAAAACCAAGGCTATGTAAGGTACCTAAGGTCACACAATAAATAGTACAGCGACTTCCCTGGTGGTCCATGGTTAAAACTCTGTGCTCCCAGTCCAGAGGGCTTGGGTTCGGTCCCTAGTCAGGAAACTAGATCACACATGTTATAACTAAGACTTTGCATGCTGCAGCTAAAGATCCCACATGCCACAGCTAAGGATCCTACATGCAGCAATTGAGATTCGGTGCAAATAAATAATTAATTTAAAAATAACTTTAAAAAATAGTGTGATCAGACATTGCTATATTTAAAATGGATAACCAGTGAGGACCTACTGTAGAGCCTATGGAACTCTGTTCCATGTTATGTGGCAGCCTGGAAGGGAGGGGAGTTTCAGGGAGAACAGATACATGTCCATGTATGGCTGAGTCCCTTCGATGTTCACTTGAAACTGTACAACTGTACAACACTGTTTATCGGCTATGCTCCAATATAGAATAAAAAGTTTATAAAACAAATTGGTAAATCTGTGTTGCCAAAATGTTACTAATTGGTCAAACTGTGAAGAGCATATGGGAGTGCTGCAGCTTTTCTATATTTTACTTTTTAAAAATTAAAATTTTTGTTAAGAGAAGTTTTTAATAAAAGAAATGTTACTCAGTTCAGTTCAATTCAGTTGCTCAGTCATGTCTGACTCTTTGTGACCCCATGAATCGCAGCACGCCAGGCCTCCCTGTCCATCACCAACTCCTGGATTTTACTCAAACTCATGTCCATTGATTTGGTGATGCCATCCAGCCATCTCATTCTCTGTCATTCCCTTCTCCTCCTGCCCCCAATCCCTCCCAGCGTCAGGGTCTTTTCCAATGAGTCAACTCTTCACATGAGGTGGCCAAAGTATTTGGAGTTTCAGCTTCAGCATCAGTCCTTCCAATGAACACCCAGGACTGATCTCCTTTAGGATGGATTGGTTGGATCTCCTTGCAGTCCAAGGGACTCTCAAGAGTCTTCTCCAACACCACAGTTCAAAAGCATCAATTTTTTGGTGCTCAAGTTGCTTCACAGTCCAAATCTCACAGATCCATACATGACCAATGGAAAAACCATAGCCCTGACTAGACAGACCTCTGTTGGCAATGTAATGTCTCTGCTTTTTAATATGCCATCTACGTTGGTCATAACTTTCCTTCCAAGGAGTAAGCGTCTTTTAATTTCATGGCTGCAATCACCATCTGCAGTGATTTTGGAGCCCCCCAAAATAAAAACTGACACTGTTTCCACTGTTTCCCCATCTATATCCTATGAAGTGATGGGACCAGATGCCATGATCTTAGATTTATGAATGTGGAGCTTTAAGCCAACTTTTCCACTCTCCTCTTTCACTTTCATCAAGAGGCTTTTTAGTTCCTCTTCACTTTCTGCCATAAGGGTGATGTCATCTGCATATCTGAGGTTATTGATATTTCTCCCGGCAATCTTGATTCCAGCTTGTGCTTCTTCCAGCCCAGCATTTCTCATGATGTACTCTGCATATAAGTTAAACAAGCAGGGTGACAATATACAGCCTTGACATACTCCTTTTCCTATTTAGAACCAGTCTATTGTTCCATGTCCAGTTCTATCTGTTGCTTCCTGACCTGCATATAGGTTTCTCAAGAGGCAGGTCAGGTGGTCTGGTATTCCCATCTCCTTCAGAATTTTCCACAGTTTATTGTGATCCACACAGTCAAAGGCTTTGGCATAGTCAATAAAGCAGAAATAGATGTTTTTCTGGAACTCTCTTGCTTTTTCGGTGATCCAGCAAATGTTGGCAATTTGACCTCTGGTTCCTCTGCCTTTTCTAAAACCAGCTTGAACATCTGGCAGTTCACGGTTCACGTATTGCTGAAGCCTGGCTTGGAGAATTTTGAGCATTACTTTACTAGCATGTGAGATCAGTGCAATTGTGTGCTAGTTTGAGCATTCTTTGGGATTGCCTTTCTTTGGGATTGGAATGAAAATTGACCTTTTCCAGTCCTGTGGCCACTGCTGCGTTTTCCAAAAATTTGCTGGCATATTGAGTGCAGCACTTTCACAGCATCATCTTTCAGGATTTGAAATAGCTCAACTGGAATTCCATCACCTCCACTAGCTTTGTTCGTAGTGATGCTTTCTAAGGTCCACCTGACTTCACATTCCAGGATGTCTGGTTCTAGGTGAGTGAGCACACCATCATGATTATCTGGGTCATGAAGATCTTTTTTGTACAGTCCTTCTGTGTATTCTTGCCACCTCTTCTTAATATCTTCTGCTTCTGTTAGGTCCATACCATTTCTGTCCTTTATCAAGCCCATCTTTGCATGAAATGTTCCCTTGGTATCTCTAATTTTCTTGAAGAGATCTCTAGTCTTTCCCATTCTGTTGTTTTCCTCTAGTTCTTTGCATTGATCACTGAGGAAGGCTTTCTTATCTCTCCTTGCTATTCTTTGGAACTCTGCATTCAAATGGGAATATCTTTCCTTTTCTCCTTTGCTTTTCGCTTCTCTTTGTTTCACAGCTATTTGTAAGGCCTCCTTAGACAACCATTTTGCCTTTTTGCATTTCTTTTCCATGGGGATGGTCTTGATGCTGTCTCCTGTGCAATGTCACGAACCTCCGTCCATGGTTCATCAGGCACTCTGTCTATCAGATCTAGTCCCTTAAATCTATTTCTCACTTCCACTGTATAGTCATAAGGGATTTGATTTAGGTAATACCTGAATGGTCTAGTGGTTTTCCCCACTTTCCTCAATTTAAGTCTGAATTTGGCAATAAGGAGTTCATGATCTGAGCCACGGTCAGCTCCCAGTTTTGTTTTTGCCGACTGTATAGAGCTTCTCCATTTTTGGCTGCAAAGAATATAATCAGTCTGATTTCGGTGTTGACCATTTGGTGATATCCATGTGTAGAGTCTTCTCTTGTGTTGTTGGAAGAGGGTGTTTGCTATGACCAGTGTGTTCTCCTGGCTAAACTCTATTAGCCTTTGCCCTGCACATTCTGCACTCCAAGGCCAAATTCGCCAGTTACTCCAGGTGTTTCTTCCTATTTTTGCATTCCCTGGTGGCTCAGCTGGTGAAGAACCCGCCTGCAGTGCAGGAGACCTGGGTTCGATCCCTGGGTTGGGAAGATCCCCTGGAGAAGGGAAAGGCTACCCACTCCAGTGTTCTAGCCTGGAGATTTCCATGGAGTGTGTATAGTCCATGAGGTCACAAAGAAATGTTACTAAAGAAGTGTTAAAAAAAAAAAAAAAAAAGGAAAAACAGTACAATCGAGACTCAGACTGGGTCCATTGGCCTCAAAGCCCATCCTCTTGGATACAGTATGGGGCCGCCCCCCTCTGGGGATTTCAGATGCCCTGGGATTATGGGGTGGGCGGGCCGCTGAGAGGCTGGGTTGATTTTTGGCTTTCCCAGAGGAGAGTGAAGTCAGGACCACCCGCGCGCGCTGCAGGGAGCAGGGGCCAGCGGGCGGGGCTCCCTTCTCCAGCCCTAGCGCTCAGCGGGTCTGTCTCCGCTCCTTCTCCAGAGCCCCCCGAGCGCGATTCCACGGTGGCCGTGATCGTGGGCGCCTCCGTCGGAGGCTTTCTGGCTGTGATCATCTTGGTGCTGATGGTGGTGAAGTGCGTGAGGAGGAAAAAAGAGCAGAAGCTGAGCACGGATGACCTGAAGACGGAGGAGGAGGGCAAGACCGACGGGGAGGGCAACGCGGAGGACGCCAAGTAACGGCGGCGGCCCCGCCCCCGCCCGCGCGCGCGCGCCCGCCCTCCGCCCCGCCCCGCCCGCCCTCTCTCGGTGTGCCTCCCCCGGGCCCGGACCCAGGGCCCGCCGGGGGCCTCCTCCTGAGCCCCTCCTCCCTGTCCCCTGCACCAAGAGCGACCCACCTCTCTGTGACTTGAGAAACCTGCCGCGTCTGGGAAGTGTGGGCCCTGGGGGGGGCGGGGCGGAGGGAAGGAAAAGCGGGGTGAAAACTGCCGGCCCCTGAGAGGAGCAGGAGGCCTGCGAGAGGGGCGCGGAGAGAGGGCAGGGCGCCCGCTGTGCAGCCTGCCCAGGGCGTGGGCTCATCTGGCGGTGGCTTCAGGGGGCGCCTGAAGGCGGGACAGGGCCCTGGGGCTGCCCCTCCAAGGCGGGGGCGCGAGGCCCCGGGCGGCCTCGTCATGGGGGTGGTGACGGCTTCCTGGAACTTGGGGGCTTGTTGAAGGAAACCTATGCGTTTCCTGGGTGTGGAAGGAAGGGGAGCCGGGGCTGGAGGCAGCCAGAGACAAGCCTTGGCCGGGGGAGCTCTACTCCTCGCCCTTCCCCCCATGTCTGCTTCCACAGACGCCCCGGGTCTCCACTGGCTGCCAAGCGAGAGAGAAGTACCCAAGGGCTGCTGAGCGAGGCCGTGGGGCCGGAGTCGCGTCTGTCTGCTGGTGGCCCCTTTCCGCCACAGTTACCCACTAACAGGAGATGAAGTTCAAAGTTAGCGGAGACAGACAAGGGGCTGGGGGCTCTGTTGTAGCATGGAGTTCCCGGTCAACTGCCTTCTTGCCCAGGGGCCAGGAGCCGCCTCAGGTGTGGAGAGGAGGAGGGGGCGGGTGGGAGCCACGTCGGAGGAGCTGGTGTGCAGAGTGGAGGGCTTCTGCTCAAACATTCCTGTGACCCTCAGCAGGGTTTCATCTGACTTTTGGCCCCAGGGAAGCCTCTGAGACCCTGTGGCCATGTCACTTCTGGAGCCATGTTACACCCTCCCCCGCCTGGACGACTCTCTTTGTGGAGAGCAGAGTAGCATTTGTGGGGAGCCAACTTTCACTGCCATTTTACTCACACGGAGAGGGAATTGCTTAAACCTCAGGAGAGGCTGAAAGAGAGAAACTGCCTTGGAAGGCCCTCGGAGATCAACTAGCCTAGTCACTCATACTACAGACCGAGAGACTGAGGGTCAGATTCACAGAAACTAGGGGCCCTGCTTCTCCTTGGGTTTCTCAGTTTCCAGTGTGAATCAACAGATCTACAGTTTGTGGAAGAGATGAGGAGAGGGAGTTGGGCTCCTCCAGCCCTACTCACCTCTTGGGAGCCCAGCCCTCGGGCTGTGACTGAGGCTGGGATGGGGTGATGGCAGTGGGAGGGCAGAGCTGCCGGAATGCCCCACCCTGCCCCAAGCGGACCTTCTGCAGTGCTTCCCAATCTTTCTCGGAGCTCAGGCTCTGCTCAGGTTCAGGGAGTCAGTGCCCAGGACCCCAGACCCGAGTCTGGGTAAATGGGGAGGAGACAGGACTCCAGCAGCCTCTGGGATCATTCTCTGCCTCTGCCCAGCAAAGGGGAGAGAGCAACAGAATATGGACGATTCACTTTAATTCACTTCAACTCATCATCCATTTATTGAGCATCTCCTATGTGCCAGGCATTGGGCCAGGTGCTGGGGATGTACACAAAGCCATAACAGAGCTGGGAACCGCTAGGTCAGCACTGTGGGGAACCAAGATTTTTTTTTTTTTTTTGGTGCATCTAATTCCACCTCTGCAGCTACTGCTTCCAGGGCTGGGGTAGGAGAAGAAGGAAGAGATTCCAGAATCTGGGCCCTGGGAAGGGAAGAAAGGAAGGAAAAAGGGAGGATACAATAGGGAAGAGGGTGAGAGGCCAGGCAGAGTGTGCACAGAGTGGGGGATGGGCCACAGCCTGAGAGCTCCAAGGTGGGATGAGTCCGGCTTATTTGGAAATTCTAAGTCATCAGTACCTAACTGCCAATCAACACACTGCCAATGGGGGGTGGGCTAATCCCCCAGGCTGCCTGGGGTGGCTGGACATTGCCCATCCTTGAAGCCAACCAGCCGAGAGGGGAGGGGTGGGTGATGGGCACCTTGATCTCCAGCCGAGATCAAGGGTGGTTGTAATAACATGTCTGCCCCTTGCAGATTTCGCTTTTTTGGGCAACTTCTTAAGTGCTCTCCTCTTCCAGGATGAGGAAGGATCTGTGCAGATACTGGGAACTCTTCTTTTTCATAACATTTAGGGGAATTATTTGTAAGATTCCCTAGGTTTATTCTAAGAAATTCTACTCTCTATAAAAGAAGCCTGAGACTTTCAGGTTCCTTCCTTTCTCTGCCCTGACCTGGAGGGTCCTAGGGAGAGCAATGCCTCTCCAGGGGCCTCAGACACCCGAGCCGATGGGGAGGGACCAGGAACCACCTTTGTCCCAGGTGCCCATCTTCATATGCTCTTTCTTCCCAAGCCTCTTAAGAGTCTCTTCCAGAGGCCTCATGGAGCTACCTCCCGCAAGGCAATGAGGTTGGGAACAAAACGGGGCTTCTGTGAGTAGAGGTGGGAGACCGGTGAGATGTCCCCTCGGCACCCTGCTTTCTAGTGTGTACCTCCTCCTGCACCGTGGGGCTCAAGCCCTACTTCTGGCTGCACATTCCCATCACTGCACTCTGCTGGTTTTCTCAACTGCTCCTGCCTCTCCTGCTCTCTAGGAACCCCCTACCTGTCTCTTTCTCCTAATTAAGGGCCCCTGTAAAGAGAGATGGGCTGGTCAACCCATGGGATTTAGCTTATAAAGAACAGAGCACACTTTTTCAGGACTGAAATGCCTTGAGGTGCCTTGGAACTGGTTTTGGAAATAGCTGTCTGCCCCCTGGCTCCAGGCTAATCACAGTTTATTCTCGATTTATAAAAAGGAGAAGCTGGATCCATATTTCTCCTTGTGAATCTCCTTGGTGAGGCCGGGCTGGTAAGTATTTGCAAGGTCAGGTTGAGCAGATGGACAAATGAAAATACTGGCTAGGTCCAAAAAAGATAGTCCCAGGCCATAGGAATGGCTTGATGCAATTGGAACAGGTGATGAATCAAGAGATTTTTCTTCCTATCTGTGTCTTAAGGATAGACAGCCTGTGTCTTTTGCTGTGCCTCTTGCTGATGTTGTCCTTTATTGAAGCTTGCCGATGCATTTGTACATAGTCTATATATAGGTAGAGATATATTATATATACAAATATAGGACATCTCACTACATCCACCCCAAAAGTTACATTGGGTGGGGGCGGAAAACAATCATTTCTCAATGTTTTGAGTTGATTCACCAAAGGCAAATTATGGAATGTTCTCATGGCTGTTTGTGCACTTGGAGGGGAAAACACAGCTACTCATGCATTTTCTAGGACTGATGTGCTATGTGGTGATGGAAGAGGTGGTGGGGAGAGAAACTCAGGTTGTCCTCTGTGACCCAACCGCTGTGAGGCGTCTGCTTTTGGGAGCAGACTGAGTTTCTTCTGCAGTGTGTCTCCTTGCTTGGATGTATTGGCTGCAATAAACAGACGGTCTCCCCTGAACCTCCCTCGAGTGTGACTTTTTTCAGGGGGTGGGGCAAGTTGAAGCAGTGCCAGGACCGTCACAGGGGCCCCTGTTACTCCTTTCCTGGTGACGTCACTGACGCTGCCAGGTCCCCATCAAGGATGAGGTTGTTCCGCTCCCCTTTTGTTGTCAGATGTTTCCTCTTTTCCCTTTGTGGCTTTCCCAGAATCCGGGCAGACTCCATCCACCTTGAAAGCACCCTGGGGACAGGGTGGCTAAACACCCACTTCTTAGAGGGCTCTTGGTTATTTCTGGATGACAACAACACTTTAAGCCCCCAAGGCTGACTGTCATGACGGTGCTGTCTACTCTTTCTGAGGGTGGATGGGCCATCTTTCCTGCTCCCTGTTGCTAAGCTGCATCTGACTAGGCAGACATCTCTTTCATCTGCTTCAGGCTCAGGGAAAATAAGACAACAGCTGGTGCAGAGTCTGCCCTCATGCAACTTCATGGATGAGGGTGGCTGTGGGGAGGAATCAGGTTGCTCATGCCCCACCTGCGAACTGCTGTATCCTAGTTATGTGTTGATGAGTCAGCCCTCAATTTAGGACCAAAAGCAACCGCCTGGCCCAGGGGTTCTGCTTCCCCTAGACACATACAGTCTTTTTCTCTCTTGCCTCCTGTTATTATGTTTCTCTTTGCATTTTTCTCTCTCTTACGCACACACACACACACACACACACACACACACCCTTGCCTAGGAAGCTCACCAAATAAGAAAAGCCTCAACTTTCTGAATGTCAAGGGAATGCTGAAGTGGTTGGTTCCTGTTTTTTTCTTGGTTTCTTCCTCATTTATGCCTGCTCCCCGGTAATCCAGAGACCTTCACCGGTGGTGAGTGGTCAGATGCATTTTAGAATATTCCAGGAGGAGCCTAACACTCATAGTCCTAATGCTGGCAGCTGCTCCCCAAGAAAGAAGCCAGATAGAAGGTGGCAGCCTTAAGCAGAGGTGTCTGGTATTTGACAGAACTGAAGCTACCTTAGTTTAAAAGGATGTCTGTCCTCGGAGGCCCTGAGTCCTTCCAAGGACCTGATGTTAGACAGGATGCTTCTTTACCTAACAGGGAAACTGACGCAGGTGACGTGGACTCAGGAGTAGAAGGTGCTAGGGTTCTGGCTGGTTCCTTCTGGGTGGACACAGCATCTAACTCAGCCCAGGGCTTTTCCACCAGAGCCTTGGAGGACACCTCAGACCTGGGCCTGGCTTGTGGGGGTCTTCCCTTGTAGCTCAGCGATAAAGAACCCGCCCACCAATGCAGGAGTGTGTTTGATCCCTGGGTCGGGAAGTTCCTCTGGAAGGGGAAATGGCAGCCCACCAGTGTTCTTGCCTGGAAAATCCCATGGACAGAGGAGCCTGGTGGGCTACAGTCCATGAGGTCACAAGGAGTTGGACATGACTTAGAGACTAAACAGTAACAACTGGCTTCTGGGAGGGCTGGGTTTGGCTCAGGTGTCTGCCCTAAATTGATGTTTTGGGCCCTGTGGGGAGGTTTGTTTCTGATTGCTGAAGGCACTGCCGTGTCAGGGAAAGGCTAGCTCCCACCTGGGTGTTCAGAATTGCTCACCAGCCTCCCGTGGCCCCAAGTGGAAGTGCCTATACAAGAGCCTCCCCGTCCCCACTGTTCCTTGGCCTCCCACAAGAGCCCCTGTGGGGCTCAGGCCATCAGCCTGCCCACAGCCAGTTGCCATGGAACAGGAGTCTATGTGCTGGGCCTGAGTCTCTAGGACCAGTTTTAGAGGCCAGAAGAATGGCAGAGGTGGGGAGGGAGTAGATCTTTACATCAGACGGGTCCTAGGGACTGCTTGACCAAGTCTCCTGATTATCCTGAAGGGGAAACTGAGGACCAGATTGGGGAAGTGACTTGCTTAAGGCCACTTGATGAGTCCAGGACAATCCAGGATCTCCCAGCAGGCTCCAGGCCGCCTGTTCTTCCCACAGCCCACACCTCATCTGGGCCTAGTGCTTGGCACAGCTCAGCACAGCAGCCCACACCAGCCCAGGCGCCTGCCTGCCCCGCCCCAGAGGGCTTGAATTGCACAAGAGGCCCCATGCTTCTTGTCAGTGTGCAGTTTTTAAAGCTGAGTTTCAAAAAGGTTAAGTAATTCTTCCAAAGTCACACAGTAGGCTATTGACAGAGCTTGGCTTTAGTTGCCTTTCTGGGTCCTATTCTACACCCCAGTAGAGTGACTTTCCTCAGGCTGGTGTGTGTCCAGTCCCTCTTAGACTGTATGTCTTCCTTCCATCTTGCAGAGTAGGGGTGGTATCTAGAAACCTTTAGGTGAGAGGAAGCAGGAGCAGGGCCTGGTGAAATGTGGGCTGGGCAGCCGGATGGAGGAGCATGGGCCCCCACTAGGTCTCCTGCCCTCCTCCTCCTTTGGCATTTCGGGGCCTCAGAAGGTCCATGCTGGCTGGGCTCTGCAGGCATGCTTCTCAGATGCCCTAGTGGCGTGTTGCCCTGCACAGACCTCACCCTGATGCCCGCCAGTTTCTAGTCACTCCTGCCTGCTACGATGCTGATGTGCAAGGCTCCAACCACCTTTTAGCCCAGGCTCCAGTCACCCAGTGATTGAGTGTTCCACAGGGTGATGGGGAAGGAAGCTCATCTTAGAACTAGATCCTGGTATCTTGACATGGCACATAAACTTGTGCCAAAACAGGTTAGTCTAGCCTTGAACCCCGCTCCTCTGCGGGGCCAAGGACGTCTCTGTCTAGGTAAGAGAGAAAGACTGTGGGATGGAGGTGGTGGGACTGGGTGAGTTGAGAGCTTCCACTAGGCTAGTAGTGGGAGGCCTCACAAAGCAGCTTCTTTTCTCTGGCCTTCATGACCTTGAGGGTCCATGAGGTGCTAGGGAAGGGGGGCAAGTGGACACTGGATGCTCTGCTTCCGTGGGAGGGACTTTCCCTTTTGCCTCATTGGCAAATCACCTTTGTCCTGACCGTAGCTGCCTCTGCTTCTCAGCCGTGACAAATTCCCTGTGAACAGGTGGCGTGAGGACTAAGAACTGTTTGCCTCAACAGATTGAGAGCCCCCTGTGGGCAAATGGACAAATGAAGAGGGTGGGTTCCACTCGCAGGAGAAGTGTACGTCACAGCTGACGGCCAAAAGTGGTCAGGGCTGTGGCCCCAGGGGAGAGGGATTAGCCTTGTCCTGTTCTGTCCCAGGGTGAAACATTAGAGCTGGTGGACAGAGGCGGGTA